TTATCTAATTTGGTCATTTGGTAGGAAAAGAAATATTCCTATTCACATCTTCATCACTATATTGCCTCATATGGTTATGGAACTCATGACAGAGATATGAATTAAATTTAGATATATTGCTTAGTTTCACTACATTTCTGGGTTCTAAAATGCAGATCAAGAATAATGACTTCTATTTTACAACACTATCAGAAAATGTATTAATTATATTGATGATGATCCCAAGGAGCCCCCCTTTAGTGGGGGCGGGGTGGGGGAGGGGGGCAGTGTGAGGCCTCTAAGCAATGTTATCTCCTAATGAGGTTGTTTTCCCTTCCATTTATCAGACAGTCCCCTGTACTAATTGATGCTCGACAGTCCTGAGTCCGAAAAGACATGTGGCTACTGTATCATAGTTCAGGAATTTGCATTTATATTTACATTTTCACCATGTTTATGATTGAATTGGGAATGTGGCTGAATACCAGTGAAGCTGTTTGAGAAGTATTGCCCATCCCTGTGGGTGAGGCCTCGCCTGGGCTGTGAATGACTTTCCAGGACCGCTCTGACCGCATCCAGTTAGTTCCATAAGGGAAGGAACCCTCACACCCTCTCTCTGGGTAGCCTGAATGGGCAGGAAACACACAGATTTCCATCCACGTCATTATTGTAGAATCTGCTGGAATGGAATGTCTGGATGGACTTGCTTGCCCTACCCGAACCAGGTGAGGCAGCCACATTCAAGAAATGGACAGTGACCCTGTGAGGCCAGCTGCCAGTCAGGTGGCCTTGTATAAATAAATCCCCTACACTCTCCACACTTCAGTTTCTACGTGTGAAATTAGCAAACGTTTCCTTCTGTCTCTAACATATTAAGAAACACTATTGTTAGAAGGTTAACCATAGTGACTCTTAGATGCTGCAATGGTATGATGCTTTAGTTTGGGCCTGAGATCTTATGTCCCATTCTATAAACAGTCATTGAGTAATCATTCTCCACCTCGCTTAATAATCTTACATCCATGCTGGTGCTGCTATAAATTGTCTTTCGAAGGCACACTTACTAACTTGCCCAGGCCAGTAGTAATTTATGCTTATTTTAAGATGCTGATAAAATAATTGGGCAAATTACAACCTTTCAGTCTTTAATGGGAAGCTTTTTGCATAACCCCATGCGTGTTTCATATAAATGTGAAGAATGGTTTTGTTTTGTTTTTAAAGAAAAGCGTACACCAGGAGAAGGCAACCTGATTTTAAATACATACACTATAATGTGGCATTTAAAAAGATATCTGCAGGGCCAAAAATGGAAAATGTACTTTACTGGAAACAAGTATGACATACCACCAAGCTATATAGTTTATAATACAAAGGGTTAAAAAATACAAAGCTCAGAGGAAAAGGAAATTGAATTTTCATGATGCAGAGATGAAAAGAACTATAAGATATCATTTTCATTGGAAGGGAAAGAAGCTTTGAAATGTAAAAAGCTTCATAAGGCAAAAGTACTTTACTATGTGATACAGAATTCAACCAAGCACACAAGTGAATCGCAGTGTTACACTTCCAGAAAGATTCTAGGTTTCAGAATGGAAACATAAAGATAAATTCCAGATTTACCTGGAGAGAGCAGAGACAATTGCATTAGGGTTATAAAGTCTTTTCTTGGAATTAAAATGATCCAATATGACATATAGAAATACAAAATATATAAATATATAAATACATAATATATATAATACATAAATATATATATATATATATATATATGTATGTATATCTCTATTTTCTCCTTATCTACAGATTCTTTTCTTATATATGAATGAATGGATGACAAATTCAATTGATCTTGGTATTCAGTTTTAAATATTTCATAAAATTAGTTATTTATAGATTTGACTAATCAATAAGTAAGCACATCTAATATTTCCAGCACATTAGTTCCCTTATTGACATAATAATGCTACAGAGATGTTTTTTAAGTCTCTAAGGGAGTTTTTACTCCTGTATTTCAATTTTGCAATAATTATAATTTGTAAATCATAGTTTAAAAGGTTGCTATGTCATTTATAAACTCAATTACATTGGGGCTTGCAACTTTTTTTTAAAACACCAATTTAAAAAATTAGCACTGCATAGTGAATGTATGTATATTCAAGTTCAAGATAAGGAAAAATGTGAGGGCAGTATATTCATATGTGTTCAGTTTATATAGACCTATGAAACTGGACTGGGTGAGTATCTGATAAATTCTGGTGGTCATGAAATTCAGTTCAAACCTAAATCAAATGTCCAAATGACTATCTGTGGTAGGCAGAAGAATAATATTTAAGTCCTAGTCCCTGGGAATTATGTATATGTGATGCTACATGCCAAAGGGGCATTAAGTTAGCAGATGACATTAAATTGCTAATTAGCTGAGTTTAAACAGAGAAATTACTCTGGAATATACAGGTGGGTCCACTGTGATCACAGAGTCCTTAAATGTGGAAGAGGGAGGCAGGGGAGTGAGAATCAGAGTAATTATCAATAGATGGAGAAAGACTCGATTGGTCATCGCTGGCTTTGAAGATGGAAAGGAGTCATGAGCCAAGGAAAGAAGGCAGCCTCTAGGCAGTGGTTCTCAACCTTCCTAAATCCGCGACCCCTTAATACAATTCCTCATGTTGTGGTGACCCCCAACCATAAAATTATTTTCGTTGTTACTCTATAACTGTAATTTTGCTACTGCTATGAATCGTAATGTAAATATCTTTTTGTTTTCCAATGGTCTTAGGCGATCCCTGTGAAAGGGTCGTTCGACCCCCAAAGGGGTCGCGGCCCACAGGTTGAGAAACCCTGCTAGAGGTTAGAAAAGAAAGGCAGAACTCAACTCTCCCCTAGAGTTCGTTCTCCTCCAAAAGGAACACAACCCTGCCAATACCTTGATTTTAGCCCAGTGAGACCTATTTCTGTGTTCTTATCTCCAGAACTATAAGATGATACATTTTTGTTGTTTTAAACCACAAAGTATGTAGTAATTTGTTACAGCAGCAATAGAAGATTAATACAATAACCATCTAGTGAATGTTCATGCCTGCCATGGTTTAATTATGACCCAGATTGATTAGTCTAAATTTCTCAAATGTTATTTTCTTTTTACCACATGCTAGACAAACCTGAAAGCAAAGTTGTGAGAACGAGATTGTCCCTATTAAATATACATTAATTCCTACATCACCTTCATTAGCAAAATAAATTGCTTCTTTCTTACCAAGGAAATCGCATAAGATTACATTTTAGAAAAGAAGTATGTAAATGTTCTTTATGTTTTTTATGTTATTGTTAATAATCACATATGGAAATATATAATGCATTTTTAAAGCATATCTGACAATATTGCTAAGGTCTTTAAACATAACTTTTATATCCATCTATAAGATCAGAAACACTAAAAAATAAAAATAAAAACTGTCTTCAAGTGGTGAGTGACCCATCACTGGGGATAATCAAGCAAAAGAGCTACGCTGATATGGCAGATGGTTTTATTACATTTAGTGGGAGATCAGGTTCAATGAGTTTGAAGTCTTTTTCTAAGTCCCAGTTTACAGGAAGTTTTAATACAGAGGAAAATATTTACAGTAAAATTATTGGCAGGAGGGAACTTAGATGTAAGAAGCTGGCAACATGGCTCTTGGGAGACCTTTGCATCATTATAAGCTCAGTTCCACAGGGAAATATCAGTAAGATTTAAGAAGAAGAAAAAGGAACCAATAAAGAGCCACTTAAACTTATAATTACATACCTATATGATTGTTTGGTGAGTGTTTAAAAATGACCAAAATCGCAACTACAGTTGATTGACCGACACAGGGGTTGGTGGCACTGATGCCCTGCACAGTTGAAATTCCACGTATAAATTTTGACTCCAAAATGCTTAACTCCTAATAGCCTACTGTTGCCTGGAAGCCTTATTGATAACACAAACAGTTGATTAACACATATTTTGTATATTATATGTACTATATGTATTACTGTATTCTTATAATAAAGCTAGAGAAAAAAGCGTTATTAAAAATCATAAGGAAGAGAAAATACATTTACTATACTGATTGAAAAAAATCCATGTATAAGTGGACCCGAACAGTTCAAACCATGTTATTCAAGGATCAACTGTGTTGAGATCAGGGACCACTTTGATAGGATGGGGTCCCTTGTTTGCCTAGAGTGCCAACAAGGTGTTCGATTCCTATTTCTTTCAATCTGGTGTTCCGTCTCTTTTCTGTATTTCTCAGGACCAACTCCACACCTATGCAGGCTAGGGGTGGTGGCATTATTGCTCACCTTGACCACAAGCCAACATTAGCTTCACTGTGATGAATTGAGAGTCCACCCTGCCCCTTAGAAAATGTAAGAAAGATGGGAGTAACTCTCTGGGAATAATTTGCAAAGCACTGGTCAGGTCCACAAATGTCTCCCTTCTGTCACATTCTTCACAAAAGTTTCATTCGTTAGGGGCTTGAGTGCTTTGAGGTCTTTAGAACCCCTGTGAAAATGCTAATACTTCTAGGAAAGCAAATTGAGAGCTCCAGCAAAAGTATAATCATGGACATAAGGGCTGATCTAGAATTGGGCACCACCAACGCAGGCAAAAATAATCTACAAAGCAAAAATATTGACCATGAAATATAATCTGGGGCCAATCTTATTTCAACGGTGTGACTTATTGAAAATGCCATTGTTCCTAAATTGATTATTCCCCAAAGAGAAAGTATATTACCTAAATTTAGCATTTAGTCTCAAGAGACTAAAAAAATACCATAAACGGCAAGTATATAAGGCTGCATATGTGCAATTTTTCCATAGTAAAAAACCAAACTTAACATAATAAACTCCAAAATTAAAGCACATAAGGAGTTAAAATGTTATCTTTGAATTTTGACATGCTCCATTATTGCAGAAAAATGTTAAAAAAATATCTTTTGTGAGATTAGAACAGCATAATACATTTTTTTTTAGTGCATACTAAATGATAAACTTACATCGGAATTAAATCTCAACTGGCAAATGTTGCATGATATAATTTGCTTTCTTCGATGAGGAAGAGGAACCCCGAATGTATGATTTATTACAGCTTTCTGAATCGGGTCCATCTGCAATGAGAAAAAAAATACAACAAATAGAAATAAAGCTTGTCAGTTCCATTGGAATGTTGCCTATTTCATTAAAGAGCCAATCTGTACAGCTTCAATCTACTGCTCACATTATAAAAGCCATTTTTATTCTAAGAAATTGTATTTTTACTTTCTCAAAAAATAGAAAACAATAAGCTTGAAGCTTGCTATGATAAGGAAAATAATAAATGCACCCGTCAGAGTCTGCATACTAACTGTGTTCCCCATTTAGGATCAACAGTTGTTTCAGTTTGGTAATCCTAAAATATAATTAAAAGTTTATCAAAACACAAGTTATTGCAAACTCCAGTATCTTGCACAGAAGTGTGTCTATCCCATTGCCCCAAATGGACTTCAAAATAGATTTGGTCACATGATCATCTCTGAAAGTAAATAATACACCATTATCCAACCTTAACCTTCTGCTGTGTTTGGTATCTTCTACCTTAAGAATGTAGTATATACTTCCTGCTTTCCAAGAATTCAAACATATGGATCTGTCAATTCATTTATCAACCATTTATTGTCTACCTAATAATAGATAGTGTGATCTTATGGACTTATGACTTGAGTTTCCAAAAGTTTGGGTCAGATATCAGTTCTCTCTCTCCATCTCATTTTCCCAGGACAGGACAAGCGACACCAAAAACATAATGTCAACAATCCAGCTCTAATAAAACTCTTCACCAAGCTCTGTCCTACAGTCCATATCAATAGTACTACACTGTTCAAGCCAGATACAATTTTTGATCTGCTTCTTAATCCTTGTGTAACCTCCTTGCATATCTGTGTCTATATCTTAAGGTTGTGATGAGGTTTAAAAGTGTAATTCGTGAAATTTACTCAGCACAGGCAGCACTAGGCATATTAATAAGTCAGTACCTATTGGCTATTATGTTTTCTCTGTTGCCACACATGTGAAGATCAAGGTGAACATGAGCCTCACACTCCTATAGTCATTGTTGGCACACTACCCATTTCTGAAGTGGCCAAGAAACATGTCAAAATAATTTAAATGTTCTACGTATAGTCATGACTTCTGTTGATTGCCTGAAAATTTGGAATTCTTCACTCTCATCAGATACAAAGTTCTTATAAAAGTCCTCAGAATGGGTGAGATATTTCAGAAATGATTTGACACACACACCCAAATGCTAAGAATATGTCTGTAAAATGATACTTTAATATCTAGCTTCTGTGATACACTATAGTGTGTTAATTCCTCCCTAAATAAGTCATTGATAAAGACTACCTGTTTTTGTGTATTTCAAATCATCAAAACCACCTAACTCTTAGCCTCGCTTTACTGGAACATAGGAGGAAGTTTCTGTCTATATTCACAACTCCTCATGGGTTATCTAGGTATTCTTAATTTAGTACTCCAAGGAACAACAACAATAGTATTCAATATTTATTAAGTACCTTTTATGTGCTCAGTAGGCTAAGTGGTTTATATATTAAACAGTTACAATGATCAAAAAGAACTCATGGTGTAATCATTTTTATCTTCCACCGTCACTTCAAATTTTTTATCTGATATGAATCCTTGCCCAGATTCTAGATGAAACTCAGCTCTCCATGATTTTTCTGGTCACTTCCAGGTATTAACAAATTCTAGTATCCCCTCTCCCCTTACTAGTGAGTTCTACCTTACTGTCTTTTTAACCAGTTTTATTTAGGTATAATTTACATACAATAAAATTCACCAATGTTAACATTGGAATTACCCGGAACAGCTCCCTCCTGCCCCCCGCTGGCCAATCCCTGCCTCCCAGCTCCAGCCTCTGAAACCACTGGTCTGCTTTCTGTTGTTCTATTTTTGCCTGTTCTCGAAGTTCATATAAAGAGAATTATACAATATGTGATGTTTTGTGCCTGCTATCTTTCATTTAGCATAATGCCTTTAAGGTTCAACCATGTTGTTGCATGTATCAGTAGCTTATTCCTTTTTATTGCTGAGTAGTATTCCTTTGTATGGATAGACCATGTGTTTATCCATTTGTCAGTTAATGAACATTTGAATTATTTCCAGTAAATTCTATAATATTTCCAATCTTAATATACAATCTAAAGTTAATTTCTAAATTCAGTTCAGCATCTTAATCCAAACATTGAAATTAATTTAAAATTACGGTTTCTTTTCCTTGGGTTGGGCTACTATCAAATAATAGTTTGAAAGGACACAGGGCATGCTACAGGATTCTAATCTCTCTCTCTCTCTCTCTCTCTATTCCCCCACACACACTGCACTCCAACTAACCCTTCAAACCTTTGTCAACCCCATCTCACCCCTAGTTCCTTAGACCCAACATGCACAATGCACAGAGCCTGAGAAAGCCAACAGCCACACAAATCTGTGAATCTGGGCTGTTTCAATAGCCTTCATTCTGTTTCCCAGGACCATTTTTATACTACTTTAAACATGCCATCACAATGCTTCTATGAAAACAATTACAGAGAAAATGGGTCAACAGTCAACAGCTAAAGAAAATTAAAAGCAGAAGCAGTCACTGACTTAGAGATAGTTGTCATGTTATGTGGCATCTGTTCTGTGCATAAATGGGGCCCATTTCTAGCAGGGGATAAAGTGAATTATGCCTACAGCCCACTTAGGAATATTGAAGTTGTCTTATAATAATACTATGAAATAAAAATGAATCACACATTTATAATAAAGATGCTCTCTGAAATGTGGTGCTGGGTATTTATCATACATTAATGAGCAGCATATTTTTTTGGTCTTTCAGTAACACTGGGGAAGCAGTGACCACACTCAATCCAAATTTGCGTAGGAGGTATTTGGGAACTAGACACCATGCAAATGTGGCATATTCTCTAGATTTAATTCTTTTATTTGAATTGAATGATGTTCTGATCACTGTAACTATAAAATCAAATTTCGCAATGCAAAGTCGTGTATTCTTCTTTGGAGACAATTTTATTTCCCAGTATACTTAAAAAAAATACACTTGACTGAATTATATTTTAAAAATGAATTTCACAAAATATCATTACAACAAAAGTATGTGTTTTTTTTATCATTTTTGGAATCTAGTACAACAAAATAAGTTTAATGCCTTTATTAATGAACATAAATCATATTCACCTCTCTAACATGTACATCTATAAATAGGTATATGGAAAAACATTTACAACAAAGAATTATGAAAGGGCAAAGTCTAAATAATAACCAGTCCTGTTGTTATATAGTTAATTAAATGAATCCACATGGTATGTAACTAAAAGTAGCATCTATTGTCAATTGTTCAAAAAGAAAGTCATATACGTTAATTTTCCTCCATGAACAAATAAGTCTGATCTGTCAAAACAATCACTCCATATTGTTTATATGCATATTATCATTAGGAGTTTTTCTACAAAATCAGTTTCAAGAGATGCCCATGTGTGTAGGCAAGAATAAAAGAGGGTTCTGGGGTCAAATAAGTTGTAGGAAACTTTGATATTACAGCTTGGATTGGAATTCACAGTGCACAATAAAATATTTAATTCTGTGAGATACCCCACAATAAAAAAATATGTTTTAAATAAATAATTTGTAAAATAATATAACCAAAGTCTTTTGTTGTTTTCTTCATTTGTTTTTAAATTTAGCATCCCTGGTTCAATGTATGCAGTTTAGAAAATAGTCATCTGGGAAAATAAAATCATTTTAAAATATGAATAAAACGCAAAGCCTAAAATGCCAGTACAAAAGTAAAGGCACTGGGCCAGCCGAGTGGCGCGATGGTTAAGAACTGGCTTGGACGCCAGAGGGTCCCGGTTCAGATCCCACATATGAGGGCCAGTGACACTGCCCTTTACAGCTAAGCTACTGAACAACAGCTCAACTTGGAGCTGGGCCGCTGTGAGTTGCCCGCGAAGGCCTAGGCTGCAGCCCCTGTGGCAGTGGGTTGCCATGGGCTACCGTATGTAGCCAGCAGCCACTGTGAGCGGCAGTCCAGGAGCTGGTGACTGATCTGCCTTGCCCGGGAAGAGCGCAATGATGGTGCCAACTTGGGTCAGTGAAGCAACGTCCCCCACAACTAGACTGAAGAACAAAATGACAGCAACTTGTCTGTTCCCTTTCCCCCAATTCCCCAGCACTG